AAATACATCTTTTAATGATTAAATTCCATATGCAATGTGGTTTTATCCTACTTTTTTAGAGTTCTAAGTTCGTGGATCATAGATTATCATCATTTTGAAGACATTTTCATGTCTTTGATGTATAATCTCTCCTTTTGAATTCTCCAGAAAATTTAATTACAAAAATCAAGAAGAAGGTGTAGAAAAATGAGAATCTTTGTTATTATACAAAGGTAAGATAAGTAGTCTATTACCTTTTGCTTGAAATCTTGAATCTTCTTCAAGATTGACAGAATTTTAATGTTGTTTGAAGATGAAATCGGCTGGAGGGGCAGAGAGGTTAGTGAGAGGAAAGGTTTATGCAAAATGAAGGTGAAAAATGGGAGTTTTCAAAGAATATGGAGTATTTATATGTGGGTTTAAAGAAAAAAAATGGGTTGGTCTTATCAGCGCCCAAGTCCATACTTGTTTATTTTTATTTTTATTAAAATGAGGCCCATTTAAAGTAAAACATAAATATAATTGTCAAATACTGATAAAATATCAGTATTAGGTCAAAATTCCAAATTTTTGTAAAATTATTTGGACATTCAAATAAAACTTTTTATAATTTAATTTGGACTTTTATAATATCAACTTTATTTTGTTTGGAGAATTTTAATTGAATTTGGCATTACATAAGTTAACTTTATCAGTTACCCATCGAAATAGAATTTTCTAAACTATATTTTGGGAACTAAGCCAGATGAATTCTAATCAACATGACTAGATCCTTTGGGCGTCACAATATGTTCCAACCAATGACGTAAGTCTGTTTTGGTCTGGAACGAGATTTCGGGAAATGTTTCTACCAAGCGTGGTGATGTAAGTCTGTTTTGGTATGATACTATATTTTTGGGAAACCTTCCTACCAAGCGTGGTGACGTAAGTCTGTTTTGGTATGGAAGTGGATTTTGTAAAAACTGTTTCTACCAAGCGTGGTGACGTAAGTCTGTTTTGGTATGAAACTATATTTTTGGGAAACCTTCCTACCAAGCGTGGTGACGTAAGTCTGTTTTGGTATGAAACTTGTTTTAAGTGGTAGTTCCCCCAGATGTGGTGACTTTTGTCTATTCTGGCTTGGAACTAGGAATGAGTACTTTCAGACGTGGTGACTTTTGTCTGTTCTGATAAGTAACCCTGTTTTGATGGAGGAATAAGGGTGACATATCAAGGAGAGATGTACTTGGAATAAGTGAGGCATTGTCATATGTGATTAGTATTATAACTCTTATTATTGTTACTAATCGGATTTAATAACTTTAAGTCATCATTTCTTTGTGACCTGATGAATTAAAGATATTATTCCTATTAGAAACAAGAATTTAGATGTTATTGAGAAGGGGAAAATGGTTTGTCATAAAGGGCAAATATTGCCTTAAAGCTTTCCTTTAAAATTTACGAAGGAATGGGTTGGTGATTAAAGAAGTTTTGGTTACAATTATTTGTTTCATATTGGGAATGTTGGATCTTTAAGCAGATGTATTTTATTAATAAAACTAATGTTCTTGAGTTTATACATTATTATATCTTGGTGTTCATCACCCTGCAATTGCAAGGAAGGGATTTACTCACTGGACCTTTCTGGTCTAACCCTCATTTTCTATTTTAAAATTATGCAATGCAGGAATGGCGGGGTCCAGGGATATTAAAGGAAAAAGGAAAATGTGATTGTTTTTCTAATCTGTTATCTGCTTTTGAAGATCTGCTTAAGATTGCTTATTTTGAAGATACATGTTATATTACATGTGTTAGTACAGGATTTGTTTTGGAATTTTTCATATGTAGATTTTGTACATATAAGAATCCTTGTACTAGTGGGACATTATAATGTAAATCATATTTCCATGTAATGAAATATGTATTATATGCAAATGTGGTATTTGGGGGTGTTACATGAAGCATTACTCACGGCTTGTCATGTAAGCAATAGAGTAATCTCAAAGAAACTTAAAGTAGCTCCTTATGAAATCTTGAAAGGTAGAAAACCTAATATAAGTTATTTCAAAGTTTGGGGATGTTTAGCCTATTATAAGGTTCCTTTATCTAAAATGTCAAAACTTGGACCCAAGGCTTTGAGAAGTGTATTTGTGGGATATGCAGAAAATTCGAAGGCATATCACATTTTGGATTTAGATACCAATGTTATTGTTGAATTAAGGGATGTTGAATTTTTTGAACATAAATTTCGACATGATTCAACAAAGTTGGATCAAGCTGTCCCACAAGGTACTCCCATTCCAAAATTTGGTTCTAGTAATAAGAGACAACTGCTTAAAATTTCTACTACACCTAGAAGAAGTGATGGGCCAGAAAAGATAAAAATCTAAGTCCATATATTATTAACTCTCAAGCCATTGTGTTTCTAGTTAAAGGAGATTAGGAACAATAAAGTCTTGAATAAAATACCTATTCTTCTACATGCAAAAGATGCAACAGAAACTTATCGGGAAGCTATGACTTCTAGAAATATTGCATTTTGGAAGGAGGCAATTGATGACGAGTTGGATTCTCTTATATCCAATAGTACTTGAGAAATCTCATATTTGCCTCCAGGTTCCAAGGCAATTGGGTGCAAGTGGATATTTCAAGTTAAGTTAAATCTTGATGGCTCTGTTCAAACCTTCAAGGCTAGACTAGTAATACAAGGTTTTAGTCAAAAATAAGGAGTAGATTACTTTGATACATATGCCCCAGTAGCTAGAATTACTTCTATTAGAATACTCTTTCCCTTAGCTTCTATTCACAATTTACCTATACATTAAATGGATGTAAAAATAGCCTTTTTTTTAATGAGGATTTAGATGAATAAGTTTACATGAGACAATCTGAGGGATTTATATTGCTCGGAAATGGAAATAAACTTAAGAGATCCTTGTATGGGTTAAAACACACACCCTAAAAAATGGCATGAGAAATTTAATGCTGCTATACTTTTTAATGGGTTTTCTCGTAATTGATCTAATAAATGCATTTATTCTAAGTTTACTAAAGAATATGGTATTATTCTATGCCTTTATGTACATGATATACTTATAGTTGGAAGCAATATGCAAAAATGAAAGTAAGACGTTTCTGTCTTCATGTTTTCAAATGAAAGATTTGAATGAAATAGATACCATATTGGGCATTAAAATACAAAGGCATAGTTGGGATTATATGTTAAATCAATGTCATTACATTGATAAAATTCTTGATAAGTTTCGACACTAAGACATTAAAGAAGCAAATACCCCGTATGAAACATCTTGTAAGTTTTGTGAGAATAGTGGTAGAGCTATAACACAACTAAAATATGCAAGTGCCATTGGTTGTCTTATGTATGCTACTCATAGTACTAGATCGAAGATTGCACTCGCAATTTGTAAACTTTCCAGGTTTACAAGTAATCCGAATAAAGACCATTGGAAGGCTATTGGTGGGATTCTAGGATATCTTAAAAGAACCAGAAATCGTGTTTTGTACTATAGAGGTTTTCCAGAAGTACTTGAGAGTTACTCGAATGCTAGTTGGATTACAGGTGGAAGTAACAACAAATCCACAACTAGTTGGACTTTCACCCTTGGTGGGGTGTTGTTTCTTGGGTTACAAAGAAACAAACATGCATTACTCATTCCACCATGGAGGCTGAATTTTTGGCCTTGGTTGCTGCAGGTAAAGAAGTAGAATGGCTTAGAAATATGCTATTGGATATAGAGGTGTGGCCACAACCATTGCCAACCATTTCTTTAAACAGTGATAGTGAGGCAACCTTATGTAGGGCCTATAATAATATTTACAATGGTAAGTTTAGACATATTAGTCTTAGACATGCTTATGTGAAACAATTAATTTATGATGGAACTATTGCTATTGTTTATGTACGCTCGTGTAGAAATTTAGCGGATCCATTTACAAAAGGTCTTCCAAGAGACATGATTTTGGAACTACAAGAGATATGGGTTTAAAACCCATTGATTGAAGTTGGCAATAACGGAAACCCAGCCTATACTCAGACTTAAATCTACTTATAGGTTCAATGTGGTAAAAACAAGTTATTGATCACGAACTTAGACATTAGTTCACTAAACTAATGAGTAATTTATTCAGGGTGAGTTTTATACTCTTAGTGAACTACCCCTTTGGTAATAAAAGGGGATTCGCCTATATAGACACAAAGAGTGGTGTCGCTCTAGTATAAAGAAAATGTTTTGCTATTATGGGTGTCTATGAAACTGGGACGAGCACATGGCCATAATAGTGCTCCCTTATTCATGATCATAAAAAGATTTGTCATGTGTGTTATCTCTCCAAGTCTTAACTTATGAAATCATGGTTCAAATGCTTTAAACCACCTTAGATTATGTTGGACTATTTGAGAGGTATACACTATGTTAAGGTTCAAAGCAAAGCTACCTTGATTTAAGCATGAAAGTCGGATGCTTGTGATAAATCCTAAGTGCAGGATTGTTGGAACATGATAGTATTTATCACTATCACTTGTTTGGCTTGGTCCCAATAGGAGGAGTGAAGAAAGTATTTTATTTTATAAAATAAAATGCATTTGAATTATTTGGTCCTAAGAATTAATGACAGTTGACTTTTCCGTTAACGTTCGGTTAACATTTTTTCGGTTATTTTTGGAGAGAAACCGAATTGGATATGAACCATTACACCTTTTTATGAAGGGTTGCACCTTTTCATGAAGGGTTGCACCTTTTGGGACCTTATAAATATTGATATTTGTCTTTCTCTAGAAAAATAATATTCTTTTTCATCTTCTTCACTAAATAACTCTATACCATGATCGTGAGAAGGACTTGTAGGATCGTTGCCTATGGTTCTTAGATTTGTCGAGGTCCGGGGAGGGAGTTAGCCTAAATCCATCAACGACCTAGTGGGGGCTAATATTCCTTAAGGATAGTGATATAATCACGTTCTTGTTTTTCTATCTATATACTACTACTTTTCAACACTTATTCAATATGTTGACAAGTTGGTAAGAATCACCAATAAACATAGTCTTAAGTTCTTATTTAGAAGAAAGATCTGTCAATGTTAATCGGCATTGACATAATCTTTAGAAGGGTTGCTGATAAACAACTGAACAATCAAATCACATGTGTTAATACACGGGTGCAGAATCAACAAACAAAAGTGTAATATACACTTTGAGGGCCTTTTCTGGAAAGGTGAACCCGTCATCATGTTTGTATACCACATCTATCATTCGTGCCAGATTAAGAATTGGGGCAATCACATCCATTGAAACTTCCCTTGGCTTCAGACATCCTTCTTTTATATCTTTCCATGCACTTTCAATCATCTTCATTATTTCCTCAATGGCTACATCTTCATCAGACACCCTGAAAGTCTTCATGTATGCGCCCACACCTGTGGTTGATTGTCCTCTTTCACGCTCGAACTATATATAGACATCTCACATCATAATTAGTACAATGTTAAAAAAAACAGTTAGCGTTACCAGACCTTCTTTTACAGTTTAGGTGGTCTAGTGATTCGGTCCAATCTCAAAAATAGCCAAACCACTCGGTATAGTCTGGTCTACGACTCGTACGTTTTTTGAGTCGTCTGGACCGAACCGATCGTTTAAAATATACAAGTGTTAATTATATATTTTTTTTCATGTTGTAGCCTTTACTTTTATGGTGCAATTAAAAAAATATTATATTTTTAGTTGTCATTTCTCAATTGACCGCATAATCTAAATTGACAGATTCCAAAATCAGTCCAAAATCAAATTCAAATTTTCAAATCGTCTTTAGTCTTGCTCAACGTTTATCCAAAATTCCAACTATTGTTGATGGATTTGTTTAACCTTTTTTATTTGCTCAACATCTTTTTTTAATTTTATAGATATATAGAAGTGTTCTTTTTTAGTTCGCTATACTATTTTTTTAATAGTGCTATATTGATAGAAATTTCATTTTTTTAGTTTAAGCCAAACGCTTTTTTGTGGTCCGGTTTAACTGTTGGTCTACTCGGTTTGGAAAATTTCTAAACCGTCATATATTGCAGATTTGTTTATGGTTTTGGGGTTAAACCGTCCAAACCAGATCACAAACACCCCTAATAATCAACCTACATAGTGCTTAAGCAATATATCAAATTTATACATTACTTTGTACCGATAATCTTTGTACTTTAAGTTATAAGAATCATGATATTAGTGATTTATAGTTGTTGACTTATTTAACTCCGTACATCCAGCCCGCTAGACTTTTGGTATACTTAACTTAAGACATAATTAATGACCTCCAAAATCCCAATTAATTAGACTATTTAATTAAAATTTCAAAGGGCTCAAATTCAAGTTTCTTGTATATTTGACTCATGGCCTAATAACCTCAAATCTTAAAAGTTCATTGAAAGAAAATTGTGTATTAGGAATTATTTTAAAATAAAATTTTGAATATTAATATTAATATGGTGGTATAATTAAAATGAGAGGCTTATATTAAAAAAAATTAAATATAGTGACAGAAGGTTTTTATGTGAATCATTAAAAATATCTGGTAAACAAAATATATTTGAAAATTACATATGTGAACTGACATTACTGATTATTTATATGGGTTCACATACGTATCTTAAAATAGATTTTTTTTATTAATTCACATAACATTATCTTTTTACCTTCTCACGATATTTAGGGGTTGTTTACCTAAATGCTTACCCAGTAAATGCTTACCGATAGGATTTAACATTATAATTTATTTTGATACGTAAGATTTTAGTAAATCAAAACATATCGAATGCAACAAGTTACTGGGTAAGTGCTTACCTGGGTAAGAGTCATCATCTTTACTTATCGAGTAAGACTCTCTATCCTTTTCATTGCTCTTGCCCGGTAAGATTCTTGGCCCTTCTCATGTTCCGGTAAGCACTTACCAAGTAAGTGTTTAATAAACGGCCCCTTAGTTTTATTATTTAAACCGACTCCTGTAATTAAATACCTGGTAAGTCTTAACATCGTCGTGGAGTCTTGCAATTAACTCTGAAGCTTTCAGAATCTTAGGGTTACCTTTGTGCCATGCTAAGGCCTCCTCACTGACAATCTCGCCCATGCCTATTAAACTGGATTTCGAAAGAACATTATAAGTTGAAGTCGTTAATCCATTCTTCACATACTCTTCAAACGATGGCACCTCTCCACTATGTGTCCACTCTGCTTCAATAAGGTAGCCTCTCGCTAGTTCTTGAAACTGAGTAGAAATCATTAAACAAAATCGGGTTTACAAGACATAAAAAGTTATGTATACGACTGAAGTTTATAGGACCAAACAATTGTGTAGCCTATGTAAAAGTGTTACAATAAATTTATAGAATGTTTGGTCAACTTAACGAGTTTTTATTAATTTTTAATATGATATTAGTTGAACATGTGTTTTGCAAAAAACCAAGTGTTCTGAAAACAAGTGCTTATACTATACTTCTCAAAGGTGTAATGTAAATAGGCTAATTAATATGACATTTTATTTTAAAAGTGTCCTGAAAAACACACTAAAAATCGTTATATAAACTTATTATAACACTTCTAGATGAAACACTTAAGAATCCTATAAAGCAGTTAGACGTTTTGTATGTCATTTAAGTCCGATTGTTCGGTCTTATCAACCAATATGCTATACTAAAAGCAGTTTATTAAGATATTTAGAAATTTTTAGCATCTTATAACATCAGTTTGTTATAAACATAGAAAAAAGGAAAAATATTAGTACATTTTTCATAATAGACAAGAACGATCATTTTTTTAGGATTTAATGATCCCTAAGAACACCCCTTTTAGACATAGGTGGGTAGGTATAGAATATTTACACTACAACAAAATCGGATTTATAGGACACTCCTAATTTCTAAGCGTAGTAATAGACCTATTTATAAGACTTAGTTTATAGGACCAAAAAAATAAAACGTCCTATCTAAAGACGTTGTAATAAGTTTATATGACGTTTTTTGACGTCGTAATAAGTGTTTTAGGACACTTTTAATATAAAGTGTCCCATTAGCCATTTTATAGGACACTATTTGAAAAACTGTTCTATAAAAATAAGTGTCCTATAAAAAATAGAGTTTATAGGACATTTTCTCAAAACTGTTCTATAAAGTTGCTAATACGACAATTTATATTAAAAATGTTCTAAAAAACTTGTTAAGACGTCTAAAAGCGTCATATAAACTTATTACCACACCTTTAGATAAGACGCTTTAAATTTTGGTTTTATAAATTAAATCCTATAAAACGGTCTATTGAGACGCTTAGAAATTGGGAGTGTTCTATAAACCCGATTTTGTTACAGTGTTAAGGAGACAAAGACAACTTTTTTTAAGGAACTCAACAGAACAAAATGAATAACTATGAGGAATTATTTGAAAGAGAAAGGCATACGGCTTGTTTTGCAGCATTAATGAAATGTGATCTTCCATCTTGCATCTCAAGCTCAGCGTACACATTCAATAGAATTTTGTAAAATGGTTTGATGTATTCCGGAAGCTGCTCCAGTGCATTAAATTCCGACCTGACAGTTAATTAAGACATGCTTAATAGTTAATATGAAGTGAAAAAGATATATACATTAGGATCGTATGAGAAAAGGAATTGAGGGAGAAGCATGAAAAGAGATTTGAACTTTTATCACTTTTAATTTCACCCTCATCCCATGAATTGTGCTTATCACAAAAATTGCTCTGGTGCATCTTGGTGCACCGTATTAGTGTACTTCAATTATGATTGATCCAAATGTGGAAATCACATTTTAGTCTTCTCATCATGACTTCTATTTTCAAGGAACCCAACCCCATAGATTATATATATATATATATAGAGAGAGAGAGAGAGAATTGGGTTCCGATGAGAAGGAGAGTTAAGGTGAGAAGGAGAGTTAAAGGATCTTCAACCTTGGATGCATATTAGGATGAGATGTACCGAGATACACCGGATCAATCCTAGTACCAAGCATGATTCATGAGCGATTTTGAGATTAAAGATGGTCAGGCGGCCAGATCCTTTCTTATGCTTCACACATTAACTCTTCTTCTCACACGATCATTCACACATATATATATAGGGTAGGGTTGGGTTACAGTGAGAATGAGAGTTAAGGTGAGAAGCGTAAAAAGGGTCTCCATCTTTGGATGCACATTAGGATAAGATGCACTAGATCAATTCTCGTATCAAGCGATTCATGAGTGAGTTTGAGATTAAATGTGATCATCCCTTCTTATGCTTCTCACATTTACTCTCTTTCTCACACGATCATTTGCTTATATATGTATATACATATAGATATAGAGGAAGGTTTAAAAGAGAACAACACACACACACACACATATACATATCTGTAAAGTTGGGTTCAAGTGAGAAGGGAAGTTATCGTGAGAAGCGTAAGAAAACATCTCCACCCTTGGATCAACCTAATTGAATGTCAACATTAATGAGGTACACCGAGATGAACCAGATCAATTCCCTTTTAAAGCGCAATTCATGGGGCATGAGATTAAAAGTGATCAAGGGTTCGGATCTCTTCTTACGCTTCTCATCATAATTTCCTTTTTCACACGATCCTTCGCCTATATGTATATGCATATATATGTAGAGGAAGCTTTAAAAGAGAGCAATAATCAAATAAATGAACACGAATCAAATCACATGCAAAATCACAAACGGTCAATGCAAGGGGTGTGTGGCCGATGTGGCCGAAATCGCGTGAATCACATATGATTTTACACATCTAATGTAAAATCCAATTTGATTCCACTGTTTTCTTTTATGTTATTTGGTTATTGTTCTCGTATAAAATTGACTATGTATGTATGTACGCATACCAACATATAAGGTTTAACATCTTCGATTGAATTTCAAAGAATTGGGTTTAGATGACGCAAAAAATGTCTAAGGGAGGGTTGGTTTCCATGAAGTCCTGTATGGATAAAGTTGTCTTTGTGAATTAATCTGGTTGTTATTTGGAGGATATTTCTGTATGGATAAAGTTGTCTTTTTAATTAAGTGTAGCATGTTTGAAAAAACTTAGCTTTTCAGCATAAAGCTCCCCTTTGAAGCTTACCAAATAAACCACTTACCATATCATTAAGCCACCACCAAAAAATCATGTATAATTGACCGAATAAGGTGTGAATCCCATAAACTCATTAAATTGCTAAAAAAACAAGTTCTATGCATGCTATATATGACCAAATAATAAAACTTCATATTTAAAAGTCTTATAGTAAGTTCAAATGACGATTCTCGATGTTTTCAAGTTTTTTAGGACATTTTTGAAAGAAATATCGCATTAGCTTTTAAGCACACTATTTTGAAGAAGAGTCCAAGGAACACATCTTTTTACATGTGTTTCTTTTATAAAACAATTTCAAAGATATCGTCAAAAACTTGTGCATCCTATAAAAATTTAGCCTAACACTCCCTATAAACTTAAGGCCTATAAAAACGTTTATTAAAACATTTGGAAATTTTTGGTGTCTTCTAATACTTTTAGATAGAAAACATAATTATTTGGTCTTATAAACCAATATGCTATATTGAAAGCAGTTTATTAAGATATTTTTATAAAGACGATGTTGTTATTATAAGTTAACGTCATAGTTATGGAGTACAAACCTATTTATTGCATGTGTTAGAAGACGAATCTCTTCAATCGTAGCATATGCATCACATGTGTCATCTAACACCAATACAAGTACTGCGATTTTTGTGGTGATGATTCGTGCTTCAGAGTATTGAGGCTCAAAGAATAATACCAGCATCCATAAATACAATTCTGGCACTCTATCCCTCGCATAAGGTGTTATCCTTTGGAAGTCCCTATCCTTCCACCACCTGAAACAAAAGTTAAAAGAAAAGTATATATACAGGTAACCCTGAGGGTGGTGTTTGAATGGCATGGTTTGAGTTTAGACTCCAAAAAGGTCAAAAGTGCCTAAAATCCAAAACGAAATAAAAATTTCTTTGTGACCACGGAGGTTCAAATGCGATGACTTCGGACTACCCACAAAGCAGATGGTCGTCCTTGGATTAATTGGTTTGCATAGCGGGTTGAATGTCCACTTCATTAACTAGTATCTGATTGTTTCAAATAATTATTTTAAAATTATCCTTTTGTACTATCCCAATTTGGGAAATGTGTTCAAAAAATGGTGTTCAAATAGAATCATCCATTTTTTAAAAAGTCAATAATATTTTCGTTTCAGTAAAGTTTTTAAATACCTTATATAGAATTAGAAGGGTACTCGCACAATGCAGCGATATAAATCTTGATTTTAATGTTTTGTTTTATTCTATCCCTGTCGATGTTATAATACGGTTTTATGTGGTTTTGAGAAAACGATAATATGTTTATGTTTTAATAACATATAAATTTGAAAATATCATAAAATTTTGAAAAAAATATATATACATATTAGTATCAAATTAACTATTTAAAAGTTCTTGTTTGTTTTGTAATTTCTTTAATTCAGTTTTTGTTATAATTTAATTTAGGTTTAATAACGAAGTAATTTATATTTGATTTAATAATATAATTTTTTATAAAGATAATAATTAAATATTCTGTCAGAACTCATTGATTATATTAAATATATTTTAATTTTTTATATTTAAAATGAAATGTTTATCCTGTTTTTGATTATGTTTATCTGTAGTTACACGAATTCAAGCATGGAATTTTCATAAGTTGTAGTTACACATAATTTACTTGTAATCTTGAACTTTAAATAATATACATCAAAAAACAGTATTTCATTTATAAAAATTGGTTTTTAAGAATTTTCGTCAAATGCTTTATAATATAGCATAGATAATAATAATAATCCAACATCAAATCATTTCTATTTACTTATTTTAAATTTTAGACAATTTTCTAACGAGTTCGTCTATTTTAAAGAACAATATAAGAAATCTGTTCTAGCAAAATAGATAAAAAAATTTCGATTTCTTTGTTTTAAACAAAATTTAATCGGAGGTTCTCTTAATTGCATGTTAATGTTGAGGGATTTTAATCTTACTTGTTGATTCAAAGATTTCCACTTGATGAAAACTTGGAATTCTTCTTTTGTTCATTTATGCCAAAATAAATGGGTTTTTTCAACCAAAAGTTGTTCATGTATAACTTACTTTGAGACGATATAAAGCTCTTTCTTCTGTAGTAGTCGTAGGTAGTTAAAATGTGCGCATCCAAGTTTTCGAAGCGAGTCATAACGGGAACATTCTTCTTTATAGTTAGAGAAATATAACCTTGCCTCCACCATCGGCATCCCTCGATGAAAGGGTCTCATCAACGCATGTTTCACTTGTTCTGCAAGATTACCTTCTAGATTGTTTACGATCCTCTTAAGCTGAGTTTTCGTGAATACTAAAGCTTCATCTAAAATATGTTCTCCATTAATTCCCAAATGTGCACATTCATAGAAGTTTAACATTCCCCTCGCATCAATATTATTGCATTCCTCGAATTTGCCCGAACATTGGTCCTTGAATTTGTTGAATACATCTGCATGACGGGTAACGAGTAATAAATCAGTTTGCCATATCAATTTTACAAAAATACAGTAAAAAGTAACCTTGTATAAAACATTTACAGAATTATTATATTTCATTTTTGGACCACTGAATCTATTGAGTGATAATAATAA